CTGAGGAATCCCAGCGGGGCTGGCCAAGCCATCCGCAAGCCGCGGCTGCCTCTGTCACCTGTCCGGAAACCCAGCGGGGACTCGGTGTGTCAGCCAGGGACGCTCACTTTTCTCTCCGTTCCCCTGTCTTGACGTTAAGGAGATCTGTTGCTGGACTTGTTGCCTAATCAAGTTTAGGCGTGACAAAAAGGCAGGCTTGTTTCTGAGAACTAGTTTGCCTTTGGAAACCCGTTTTCCTCCTCCTAACAGCGAAGCGGGAGGCAGCAGAAAAGGGTTAGGGAATGATGTGGGATGTCAGAAAGCTTAAGGTCAACAGGCGTGCACAGAGGTTGTGAACTGTAATTGCTCTTAATGCTGTTTAAGATTAACCTCAATGGTTATAGGGGTTTATTGCATCAGCACCAGAGGAAAAGGAATCCACACGAAGAAATAAAAGCAAGAGGCACAGTCAGCCCTCTGCAGCCAGGCAGGAAAGACAAGACTGAAAATAGTCCTTTTTAGTATTAATGTTAAACAAGAATACACTTAAATAATAAGAAATGCATGGCTAGGAAGTATGCCCTGGAATTAATATGTTAGCAGATGAGATTTAAAAGTTCACTGTAGATGGAAAGAATCATTAGCAAAACAAAAAGTAGGAGAAGAACAAATGAGTAAAGTTCTTTGAACCTGCCTGAATTGGGGAGATCCCATTCGTAAAAAAGCTGTTCTTTTTGGAGAATTGCAAAACTGAAGTAATGGGAACACTGGGAACAAGCCTGTGCCTTTCTGGTGCAGGTCTGTGAAATGCTCAGCACCTTCAGTGTCAGCAGTTTCAGGACTCAAACCAGCCTGGAGCTGAGACCCATGTGCCCGGTCTAACAAAGTAAACAGAGATCATATCAGAAAGTCCCAGATATGATCATGCTTTAAGGGTCAATATTCTTATTCCTACTGTTTCCTCAGCTTTTACAAACCCAGAGAAAATGAGCTCGTGCTCTTGATGGACAGAGGTACATGTACAATTTCTACAAAAATGAGGAAGGGCCACCTGTTGCTTTTTTTTTTCTTTTTTTTTTTTTACAGTAGCAAAATCTAATTTTAATTCCTGTAAAACATTTCTGGAAGCAGATTTCTCCCTCAGAAAACTGGAAAACACCCACTTTGTTGTTCTGAAAGGGGAAATCTATTCAGCCGAATACACTTGACATAAGGCTGATTATTTTTGTTCTTTGTTTCATGGTGGCTCTTAGTGATGTCGGTGGCAGACTGGAACCCTGCCCTCCTATGCACTGCCCAGAAGCCCTGTCCCAAGAAAGAGCCCCAGGAAAGCAAACCAGTGGCAAACAGCTCTGTCAAATGGGACTCTGTTTACCTCAGAAATCCTCACACAAGCCTCGGCCCCTTGGTAGGCCCTCTCTTCCCTGAAGTCTGAATAAATAGAGATGCCTTTCAGGATGTCTGGAAGGTCAGTGAGCTGTTAAGGCAGGAGAGCAGCAAGTTTCTGTAGTCAAGGACACTTCCTCCTCTCTGCTTCCCTTCCCTGTGGGCACCTTCCCATTTTTTAATTTTTATTTATTTATTTTTACACTGTTGACAGAAAGATAAGAGTACCTGAGAACAGTAGAGTAAGTTTTGTTGGTGCTTGTGGTGCACTTAGTGCTAATTAGTAGAAATACACGATGAACACGATTTCTCAGATGTTACTAAAGCACGAACATTCTTGGTTTCCTCTGGTGCTGCTGTTGCCCTTAATTAAAAGTTCACCTAAACTGAAAAATAATTGAATAAACTACCAGTGCTGGAAAATTATCAGCCCAATTATTTTGTAGGCTGAAGAAACAGTTGTACTGTTAACTTAAGACTCCTGGTTTGATTGAATTATACAGAATTACCTTCAATGAATGAGGCCATCACTCAGAGCCAAGGGGACTGACATTCAGTGAAAATAGCTGAAGTTTCTGCTAGCAGTGAGGGATTCAGTGTCCTCTGGAATTACCATGTTTAAGTAACTTAAATGGTTGAATGTTGATAAATTATAAATTATGCTGGGGTACTTTAGCTGGAAATTATAGGGCTGTTTCTGACTTGCTGGAAAAGAGTAACTGCTAGCTTTCTGAGATTATAGGATTAAACTGTATCAGTACTTTAAATGTGACTCATGAGCAGGGGCTTTCTGAAGAGAATTACATAAATTTCCCAAGGTCTTTCTGAATAACAAATTGTTTCAAATAATTTCCTCATCTTTAATAACCATGGGTGAAATACTGGTCCCACTGAGATCAACAGAAAAAGTCCTTCTGATTTCACTGGGCTCAGGATTTCACCCCCGGATTCTTGGAAATCTTCAGCTCTTCTGTGGTGACTGGGTGAGGAAGAAGTGAGGAAGTTTCTGCAGCTGGAAATGGCATTTTCTACCAACTGGCAATTCACTGTCCTCACATTTTTATATTTACCTCACTTAGTGATGAAACAGATTCTACTCTCAATTGCACCAGAATGGATTTACAGTGCATTTTAAGATATGTTAGCAGAATCTATCTTCTTGTCAAGGCACGTGACCCCAAACATTTCTTGCTGGGTTGCAGAAGTAGTGTATGGGGAGCTATGCAATTCTGGGTTGACCATGTGGAAGTTTAACTTACCCACACTGCTACTCTGAGGCAACCATTTGCTTACCTCTACTAAGTTAATTACAATTGACTTCTCTATAATTATTACAGTTCTAATCAAGAGTAGATAACACATAATATAATTACCTACATAGCTATTAAAAAAAACCCAACAAACCAAAAAAAACCAAACAAACCCTACACACCAAAGAAAGCTGGAAAACCAACATGATAAAATCCAATTTAACACAAGTCACTTGATGAATAAGGGAAGTAATGCAACTTCTTTTCCTATTGATTTGCACCTTCTGTCCCTTGGGCTACCCACAGAAAGTGCTCAGCTTTCTTCCAGACCTCTCATCTCACCTCTGCTGGGTGAGAGATTGTTTGTGTAGTGCAGAGCTGTCTGCATTGGCTAGCCAGGTTGCCCATGATGTTAGGGTGGCTGACTCCTGAGTTTTGCTTCTTTCTCCCTCAGTGGGGCCACCAGCTTTCACAAAGCATTCAGGGGGCCTCTCTTCCTTCAAAACTGGCTAAAAAATCAATAAGAATTACTAAAAAGAGGAAAGGAGAGAGGACTGTTGAGCAGGTTAATTTTCTTAGGAAAACTATTTAAAAAAAAAGGTTCCTACGTGGGTGTCCATTTGCCTAATTCCCCTGAAGAATCTTCAGTCACACTTTTTTTCTATCAGCAGGAGATCTGACCATAAATATTTAATAATTTCAAATCTCTTGTTGAGGGCACATGAGGATAGTTTCAGATTTTACAAGAGCAAAAATGTCTTCACATTTTTCCTGACTCAGCCCCTCCAACTCAGCCAGTGCTTTGAAGCCCCAGAGCACATACAGACTTTTCCCTTTGTGCCAGCTCTTATTAAACATTTTTCAGGAGTTCATAACCAGATACACAACTTTGTGTAAAACTGAGCATAATAATTTTGTGACAGATTCAGTCTTGGTTAGCAAACTTCAGCTTCCAGGAGAACCCTGAGCTGTGCCTAAATGCAGCTGAGATCAAGGTACACTGTTCATTAAGTCTAGAATCTGTGGTGGTATAGATCTGAGGATGGAGATAACTCTGAAACTCCTTTTATACTTCAAATAATAGCATTTTTTTGCTTTCTAATTTTTGTTTCTTATTCTCTTTCTCTTCCTATTCACTAAATTCTCATTTGCCACACATGACCAGCTTAAAACATCAGAGTATACATACATACACACACAAATTATTTTCCATATTATGTTTCAGAAAGACCTAAATATTGTATGATGCACTAATACTAGTATTTTTAAATACCAACCTGAAGTTAACCTAAGGTGAAGGTTTTTGCTAGTGACAAAATTCTTAACTTCCTGACTCTAGTGAGAGATTGGAGTAGATGCAGAATGGGGACTGAAGCGATGCAAGAAATACAGTATTATTTCCCGTTATAAAACATACCTCTAGGGGATATTGTTTGCCTTTCTGAAGTTATTGAAAGACTATTATTCTTCTCTCTTTTTCCCTTTCAGCAAAATGATGGTCCAACACTCAGGCCAGGTATCTGCATTAGAAGTCAGCGCCTCCGCAATTGTTCCCACTTTGTCCCCTGCAGGGTCACTGGGGTTTGATGATTTCACAAATTTAACCCCACTGGTGAAAGAGGAACTGAGGTTTGCCATTCAGAACAAGCGTCAGTCCCACAGGATGTCTTCTACACTGGACACGGTGACTGTTTCTGACAGGCCGATTGAAAAATCGATCATGAAAACAGAGGTATGACTTTTTAAACATCATTTCAGCATGAATGGTTAATTCTCTTAACGAAATTTCACCATAAGACCAGTAATTATATCTGATAAGTGTCTCCACCATTCTCACTCCTTTTAAGCCTGCTACCTGGCTTTCTGTTAAGTGCTGCTGGGAAACCTTCTGGTATTTGTCATTTCGTTGAGGCCATAGTTGGGTATTTTATGTTTGATTATGAACTAAGGACAGTGGTTTACAGCCATTAGAGGAAGTGCTAATCTGGCTTCCCTGCCTACTTGTGGCTGGACTTGGAGTAAGTCACTGCAGCTTTACTTCAGCGGGGGCAGAGCAGTAGGACCCATGTGGACTATGCTGAGGTAGACAAGGCCATGCTATGTCCACACTAGGTTTTTACTTAAATATAGTAGTCTCTGTGAAAAATATTTCTCTTATAAAGTGAACAAACAGCTTAAATTAGGGAAATAGCTACACCTTGGTCCAAGCCTCTAGAGGAAACAAAACAAAGCTTGAAGGACTGTGTCAATATCCCCTTTTTGGTGCTGCCTTTAGTTTGCTGCACTCTTGCTGCCTTGTTCGTGCCACATTCTCCTCTCTGTTTCCCATCCTTCTTGTTCCTTTCCCTCCATGGGAAGTGGAGAAGAGATGGAGTCCACCTGGGAAGATGCTCGGCAAGTTTTTTTTGAGTACCTTTGATTTAAAATGAGCCATCACATGTATTACATCCATTTGAGCTCCAGTCAGGTTTTTACTGACAATTCTAATGCAATTGCTACAATTTTACTGCATGGCAAGCAAGGTCAGAATTGCATCCTGATGTAACTGATGATGTGAGCACTTACAACACTATCCATGTTGCTTTAAAAATGCAGAAGATCTCAAAATACAGGTCAAGTATTTATGACAGCTTATGGATCTTACGTATCTGTTTTTATGGAATAGTTTTCTCCTGAAGAGGATGAAAGAAAAAAGCGGAGAAGGGAAAGGAACAAAATTGCTGCTGCAAAGTGCCGAAACAAAAAGAAGGAAAAAACAGAATGTTTGCAGAAAGTAAGTGACTGGCATGAATTGTTCATAATCTGCCATCCTGCCAGGATCTGAACAGACAGCACAGGGGCACTGGCATAGTAGAAAATACAGAAAGAGGTCACCCAAAACTCTGTAAACCCACCATAACATTAATTACCAAAAAATGAATGTGCTACATATTAAATAAAACCTGGTTAAGACTGGGAAAAAGTGAAAGCATGGTAGGAGTGAAAGAGATTATTGTCTTAGTGACCAGTCTTGTCTGTGAAAATAATACAAATTTGTATGTGTCCACTAAACACAAAAAGAAATAAAATCTCATTTCATATAATATCCATTATGAAGCCCAAGAGCCTGCAAACACCAAGAAGTAATCTCTGATTTCTTTATGAAGCAAGTGGCACAGCAGCTTAGTCCTGAAGTCTCTGTTCTAAGATCCTGGTAGTGTCTCCACCTGCTCTGCCATGATTATAATACCATGTTACAGCAGCATCAGGCCTGTCTTTGTTCCTATATCCAGGGGTGGGAGAAAAAAAGCCATGCCTTTACTTTTTCAGCTTAATGTGGGTTGCAGATATGTAACATGATGTTTCAGGGGGTTAATAAGAAGTGTAGATAATTCTGGGTAAATTTTTAACCCAAAGTTTCAGAATAATTTTGCGGAAAGTAGCAGTAGTGCTTTGGATGTCTGCTCTTTTAAGTCAATACAAATCTGAATTTTTCAACTTTTGTTACACTCAGCTCTGAAGGCAACTGTCAGTCTGATTTTTTAGGCTATTATCAATTGGGGGGTGTATAGTTTCACCATTACATTACACTAAGAACATGCAGTTTCTTTCTCAGCTAGCCCTGTTTTCCCACCAATAAAAGACAGCAACTGTTAGATAAATGTTACAACTAACTCTTTGAAATACTCATTCTCATAGCTGTGTCTGTCCTTTGTGACTAGGAATCAGAAAAGCTGGAAACTATCAATGCAGAATTAAAAGCCCAGATTGAAGAGCTAAAGAATGAGAAGCAGCATTTGATATACATGCTAAATCTTCACAGGCCCACTTGTATAGTCCGGGCACAAAACGGAAGGACACCTGAAGATGAAAGGAATCTTTTTATTCAACAGATCAAAGAAGGCACATTGCAAGGTTAAGTGATATGGCAAATGTGGGAATATTTATAGTGTTTTTAACAACTACCAGAATCCATGGAGGATCTGACATAATGTGTAGGATTCTATTAGTCAAGAACCTTTAGGAAGGGCAGGTTGCTTTCTCAAGCGGAAAGAATCATTTTGGCTTGACAGTGATTCTTTCCCTTGGAAGATCTGGTCTCAATCAAATTGAAGAGTTTTCTGCCTCAAATATAGGTTTTGCACCTGTCATACTTGCTGTTCCTAGGAGCTACAGACAACAGCTTCAGAAGTTTTAGCTCTCTGCTAGTATACAGTATCTGCACTCACGATGTTTGTGCTAGAACACTATGACTTCCAACGATGCACATGGTACAGACAGCTGTGCTGGATGGACACTACTTTTCCTTGTTGATGGTAGAGAAAGCAGACTGAGAGTATTTTTAAAGTTTCGAAGTTTCCAGGAGGACAGTTTCTGGCAGAATGTACTGATATGTAATGTTGCATTCTAACCTAACACACACACACACACACACATAAATACACAAGAAGTCTAGTTCCAACTAAGCGTTGTCATTTTTTTCACAACACTTGTGTGGGGTTTTGTCTATGACTCATCTCAGAGACTGAATTTGAAAAGCCTAGTAGGTGTGACAAAGAAATATTTCTTGTAAAATGTTCATGTAGCTAAGTTTGTATTTTATGAGCTGGAACCCCGCCTACTATCCTTGTGGAACTACTGTTTTTCCTTGAACAGCTGAAGAGCAGCTGGTACCACCACTTGGTGACTCAGTGAATTGGACCCACTGGAAACAGGAAACTAACCATGGAGGGATATTGACACAGGTTTTGCCTGATAAAAGAACTGCAGGATTGAATCCCAGGCTCATGAATAATGAAAAGTTAAAAAAAAATACATTACCTAGGATCTAATCCTGCAAGCCTTACTTCATGCTATTACCCCTCACTCACAGAAGAGGTTCCATGCACTTCAGTGGGTCTGCTTATGCAGATGGCTCCAATAGGCATAAAAGCTTGACAGAGCTTTTTCCATCCTGGTCAGGATTACTTTCTTTTGCCAGGTGACTCAGAGGGAAAAATTATTATTGCAGCTACTTTTATATTATGTTTGAGTGGCAACTACGGTCAATCAAAAGTGTTACTTAGAATCTAAAGGAGGAAAGTTTTGGTGTAGTGAATAACTGTTTTTATTTTTTATTAAAGACTAACCTTAGATGTTTTTGAACTGGTAGAAGAGCTGCTGGACAAAAGCTATGAGTGTTTAAATTCTGATGTTTCTGTGAAATTCTCAGATTGTTTAATCCTATAAAATATATCCTTACAATTTTTTGTAAAAGAAAATATTATCCTTATTTATCACTAATATAATGAGTAGAGTTAATAAATACTGCGAGCAAGATAAAACTGAAAACACAAGTGTTGTGCTGTCTTTTTACTTTTATCTCTTGGTGTTTAACATTATATATTGCTAAACTTCACCAGTTGTATTTGAGACACCACGACTGAAAACACTTATCCTTCATCTTTTCCACAGATGAGGCACTGAGTATCTTGAATGATTTGGTGCAGAGATTACACCTTCCAAAATTCTGTACCTCGATCAGTGGTGTCTAGCTGCTCAATGTCACAACTTAAGTGAAGCAGACAATAAGAATGAAACTTACAGTACATAATATTTTACAGCAGTTACGCAGTGTTGAAATTGTGGTTTTGTTCTAAAGGCTAAACTTTTAAGATACCTCAGCCATAAGCTTCTTACCCTACAAGTCCCAGATGAGTCTACCAGATATCATACTTGATCCTTATGTGATCATTATATTCTGCAACAGAACTTCTTAGTACATTTTCCTAAGATCTGGATATATTGTAATGTCCTATATAATGTTTTAAAGATATGTACTTCATGTATCTGAAAAGTGAATGTATTCTAAAGATGACATACAAGGTCTTTCTGTACGTTGGAAGAACCTGCCGTTGACTTCAATGAGAGATTTATTCATGCCCTGTCAGCAGAATTTTGAGCCTCTGCTGTGACTTCCCTGACTTAAGAGGGCGAGTTCCATGGGGAATTGGGCCAGTTGTTTGTCAGAGAATGGATATACATGAAGTGTGTTACAGTACACTTGTCAAACTATGTTAATTGGTATTTGATTTCTGTAATGTGGAAATACAAGCCTGAGGCATCATCCCATTATTGTACGCCTCAGCTTTGCACTTTGCACATCAAATACCAGCAGACAAACCTGCCTCCTGTGCTGTTATAAAGTGTTACCACAGAGACTAGAATCTAATAACAGAATTAATGTGTCTCCTTTAGGAAGTTTGTATGGTTGCTTTTAACAGTATCACTGGTGACGCAGGCGTCATGCTTTTGTTACTTATGTTATTTACTTAGCATGCCAAATGTTAGTATGGTACCACTACTATTGTCAAGAAGATAATCTATTTTTATTTCATTGTATGTGCAGTCACAGCTGCTTTTTACTGCTTGTATGTATGTATTGCTTGTATGTGTGTGTGCATGCGTGCTCCTGCACACCACTCTAGAAATGATGGTACTCAAGTTCTTTGACTGTGCCCAGAAAGAAAGCAGTATTTAAAACTGCTAGACAGGAGCAATATGTTGCATGAGTTTTCTAAAGGGATGCTTTATTCAGGAGAATCTTGAAAATCCATTAAAAGCGATTTGTTTTCTATTCTTAAGTTTGTTTTGATACTTTAATAAAAAATAATGACTGTATATCTTCATGTGTCATTTAGTTCATTTGTAGTTCCAAGGTCCAGAACATTTTCTTAAAACAACACTGAGATATTAAAACCCAAACACATGTTGTGGATTTGCAACAGTGTCTTAGAAAGTGAAATGAGTACTGTTTACTGCTTGTCAAGACATACACAAAGTTTTGTAATTATAAGGTTGATCATGAATTCCAGGCTAATTTCTTATTCGTGACCTAGGGCTTAGATTAAAGTACTAGATATTAGAACTCCTAAACCTTTTCTAACTGTGCAACTGACCAACTGATAGTAATTTCAGCTTTCTGATTACCTCAGGGGTTTTATGCTTTTGTTTCTGTGGAGCTTTAATATTTATAGATTGCTTTCTATGGTTACATGGAAGACACCAAAGAAGTACTGCATGATTAGAACTTTGGTTTGTTTCTCTGTGTGTTGGTGTGGGTGCGTGTGTGTGTGTGTGGAGAAACATGAGGAAAGATGAACAAAATGTTCTATCTTGCCTTTTCCAAACTATCTACACCCAAACAGAAGTCCCTGTGTTTTCACAGCCGGATGAAAACTATTGGCTTCAGTCCTTTGCAAGCAATCCTAACTTGTAATACAGAGGTCAGTTAGAAGGCCAGGAGCTCAAGGGACCAGGAAATCCACTGCACTATTGCAAAATCTAGTTTAAAATATCAGAAGGAAGATGTAGGCTACTATGAGCCTGACAATGTTGAATGTTTGCTTTTCTGATTGGTACATCCGTTTAGAAATGTGCAGTCCCAATATGAATATTCACACTTTCAGGCATTCTCCTATAGCTGCTATCAATTTTTACTTTTGAATATTCAATTCACTTTTAATTTGGCAAACTTACAAATCATCTGCCTAGTCTGTTTTAGAAAGCCTCATCAACAAAATCAGGGCTATGAATTCCTGAACTGGTATTTTATAACATTTTCTTTAAATGGTGTATGTCAAAACCATAAAACCATGGTCTCTATGACATTCTAATAGCATAGTGGAGATTCCTTCAACTAATACAGCACATCTCCTTAGGTTTTGCTTTAGACACTAAATCTGTATGTCTACAGGCCCATGCAGACCTTAGAGCATGCTGGGATTTGCTCTCTACATTGATAAGGAGCACCCTCACTTTTTCCTAGCTCTTCCCTTGATGTAAATAAATAAATGGCAATACTGAAAGTAGGTAGAGCCAATGCTAGGCTGTAAACATTTAATGAAACTGAATGGTAGCAAATTTAGATTTACAGTAACCTTTCTACCTGGGCCCATTATAATTTGAAGTTAATGAAATGGCTTTAAAATCACCCATTCTTAGTTTTGCAAAAGAAACTGGGTAATTTATGGGCAACGAAAATAAAACCATTCATTTGGTTGTGAGTAGCAAAAGACTTCTGAAAAAAAAGAAATCTACTTCACTTTAAGAATTTCCTACATCCAGAGTGACAACTGTATTTCACATCCATTTTTCTTGGTTGGGCTTTTTTTCCATCAGCACAACACTGAACTAGGTACAGCCCTCATTCGTGCTTCCCATTGTCATTTTTCTACGCTTGCCCAGTGCCCCCAACTGGAGACCCCGAGAATCACATGATTAGGAAGAGCAAAAATGTCAATTTATGTAAGTACTAAGTAACATTCTTAATTAGTTTGTAACTACGCCAATATAATATTTTGATTTATGTAACAGACATAATTACTCTTAGAAGGCATTAAGATAAAGAGTGACAATATTTTTTTAAAATGTTGTTACTCAGAGTTGATTTCCCTAGTGGACAGTCTGAGTCAGAACTGTTGACTTCAGTGATATAAATAGTTATTTACGAATTTTCAGTGCTATTAGACCTTCAAAGTCATCACAGTTAAAAGAGAATATTCTTGATGCAGCATCAATTCTGGATGTGTATCTTTAGTACTGCTCAGAGTGATGCATGAAAAAACAAACAAACAAACAAACGAGAATCTTATTATTTCCAGACCTCAGGTCAAGTGTAATAGACCTGATATTCAGAAAAGTTATTAGACCTATGAAACAAATAAATAGGAAATGGAAACAAACAGAGTTGAAACTGGAACCCTTTTTGGTTTTTCATGCTTTTGAGAATTTAGCAGGTTCCTATGTGTAGACTCCACCAGGTAAGGGGTGCAGCACCACGGCCACTCAGACACTGGGTATACCCACACAGCAAAGAGTCGTGTAGTATGGCAATACTTTTATATAAGCTAGCTTAGGACTGGGAACATCCCAGTGATGACAGTAAGGAACTCAGCACAGGCTAATTGGTGCCACTGAGAGGATGATCTCTCCGTGCAGCCAGAGGACAGGCTGCTACTGGCATCTGAGGTAGCTCATTTAAAGCCAGCTCGGGTATCGTTCAGCTCCTCAGGTTAGCATGTCACGTAGCTGCCTGCATGCCCAACAAACAGCTCTACCACTTCAGACCAAAGGTCCACCCAGCCCAGTTTTCTTTCTACAGCAGTGAAGAAAAGCAGCTGTCCAAGGAAGAATAAGAACATGGCAAGTATACTTCCTCTGGTGCTCCCCTGGTAGTCCAACTGTTTTCAGCTCATGAGTCACACAAGCTTGACATAATTCCTACAGGTAGTAACCTTCCATAGATTGATCTCTCAAGTCTTTGACCAGTTTCTCACCCACAGTACCAGCACCTGCAGTAACTTTCAGTGGCATGTTCCACACAGATATCATCATTTAGGAGAAGAAAACATTTCCTTTTCTTTTAA